ACTCAACAAACTACATTTATGGTTTTATGGAACAAAATGGCGTGTAAATATTTCAAACACTGTGTAACAAAACCCTGATTTGTAAAATATTATTCATACAGATTTGTGGAGGACTATAAATTAAACTCTAAAGTAAGTTACACGCGTGCCAAATCAGTTTAAAACGCATTTTTTAAATAAGGATCATTTTAAAACAAAGAGGCGTGAATTTAGCTCACATACAATGACAATTTATTTAAACAAACAAAACAAATCCTTCAAAAATACTTACTAACAAGAAGATTCTTTGAAATAGTATGGCAATATACACGTTCCATTTGTACTTATTTTTATAATGGCACAATAATTCTGGACAATTCAGTTTGGAAACACTTTCTTCGGTGTTTGGTCCTTATAATATCCGGCTACACTTAAATAAATTACTATATGCAATTTACACGTCCATGAAAACTGGCATAGGTAAAAAGTCACAAAAGAGAGACTTACGTGTTCATTTGACAAACCAACATCAAGTGAATTCTGTCTCTAGTCCATACGGTGTGGGATTTTTTACGTCAAAAGTTCAGTTCACGTTGGCACTGCTTTGGTCAGAACTTGCTGCAGTCGTACACAAACGCCCCGGATGCCCTGTAGATGGACTGACTCGGTGGGAACGACATTTGACAACTGTTATTCCCGTTCACTGGCGAATTATTCAAGCCAATCCTTTGCGACTCGAACATCTCTCTGACGGAGTGAAAATTCTGCTGCTGGCTCGGATACGCGGCCCCCAGATGCCCAAGATCCCCCGCTTGGTTCAGGTACCACGACGCCAGCCTGCCCTGATGATGATGGCCCTCGTTCGTTGAATTCAAATTACCGTGTGACAGTGAACTCGCCGTGGTCGTGACTGCGTAATCTGGCAACGTTTCATCCACCGTACTGGGCGCCAAATGACTAGACCTGTCCCCTGCGTACAGGCTCATGGCTTGCATGTTACAATGATACGTAGCGTTGGAGGTAGAGGAGTTCTGGCTGCACTGGGAGCTGTACACGGACGTTTGGGTGGGGGAATAGTTTAAAGACAGAGACGGGGTTCTTGAGGAGGCCACCAGGTCCGACTGCGCGTGAGGCGAGCCCCGTAGAGACGTCATGATGTTGTCCACGCTGAAACCCTGCGTCGAGGCCTGTACGTGGTGCTGCTGGTTTTGGTGCGGGTGGTGCTCCGGAGTGACCACGCCGATGGAGCGACTGGACTGCAAGCTGTGTGGGCTCCCGCTGGACATGCTGCTGCTGCTGTCCGGGCTTTCGATTTTGGGCACCGGGTTTATCGGAGACTCGGCCTGTGGAGGCGTCATGGCTCCGTTCTCAGTCTTTATGTCCTGGATGCGCACCGGCTGCTCCTGCTCTCGGCCTTGCTGCTGGGACTGGTTCTGCCTCGTTGGGGTTTGTACCTCCTTCTGCAAGCGCTCCTCTTTTTCCTTCAGCGCGTCCTTCTTTTTAAAACGACGTCTCCTTCTCAAAAAGCTGCCATTCTCAAACATATTGTATGAGTCCGGGTCTAGTGTCCAGTAGCTCCCCTTGCCTGGTTTCTTGTCATCACGGGGGACCTTGACAAAGCATTCATTGAGCGACAGGTTGTGTCTGATGCTGTTCTGCCACCCCTGCTTGTTATCGCGATAAAATGGGAACCTTTCCATGATGAACTGATATATCCCATTCAGGGTCACCTTCTTGTCCGGGGAGTTCTGGATGGCCATGGTGATGAGGGCGATGTAGCTGTAAGGAGGCTTCACCATGTCCTTCGGCTGGGGCTGCGGGGTGTACGGTCCATAGGCGCGCGCCATGCCACCCGGGTACTGCTCGTGAGCCGCGTGAGAGTACATGTTCATAGCGGAAGGCATCCCCGTGTAGCCTCCTCCTGCCGCAGCCGCTCGGTAGTAGCTGGGGTCACCGCTGATGTACGGCACGACCCCTAAAGAGTTGGGGCTGGAGACAGAATAGCGCGCCTGCATGTCTTCTGCGTAGTCAAAAAAAATAAAAAATAAAATGAAAGAGTCCAAATTTCACTCGAAGAAAGTCAAAATCGCGTAAGAGTGTTGTATTTTAAGCAGTCCCCATCTCGCTCTCCTCTACCACGCTCTGAAAATCCTTCTGAACTTTGGAGCGTACGCGCGCACACACAACTTTTTGCGCAGTTAAATTCTTTCCTCCTTTTTTTGCAGCCAGTGAAGTGAGCTCCTCCCTTAAAAGCAAAAAAGTCAGCGGAGAGGGCCAATGGGAAGGCAGGCCGGGCTGAGGGGAGCAAGATGCCGGCTTAGAAGAAGTGAGAGGAGGTGGTGTCAACTCCAGCCCACTGTGGACTTTTGACGTGACAGATCTATTCAAACAGGCATTATACTTGGGAGAAATAAACTTCAAAACGATTGATCACATCTCCATATCACTGTTACAAGTCCGTTTTTTGTCTTTAGAAAACTAGAAAACACATCTAATATTATCTTAAATGTTGATAGAAACATTTGGGCCACCAAAGACATATAAAGGCACGTTTTTTGTTTTTTAATTTATCACCGAATTAACTTGATTTATTTTACTTTAAATTAATTTCAAATTTGGTTCAGGCCTATATGTAGTGTTATGAAATGATAGTCTATATGTGTATTTTAAAATGGTAAAACTGTTAAAACAGACTCACAGTGAAATTATTATCTTTAACCTTAAAACCACTGTCTGCACTATATTAGCCCATCGTCACTTCAGCGAACGAGCCATTTGGCGACCTCCAGGCCAGTATGATTTACCAAACCAAATTACACACTGGATCAAAGAGTCCTTTGCTCATTAGCGGCGAGATGTCATGTCATTATAACGTGAATAGAAACATTTTGGGCTCTAAAGGGCCTTTGGTGTCAAAGCTGCTCAAAACAAAAACAGGCCATATGCCCCAAATATCACACTTAATTGTCAACCAAAACGTGTGATCAAGAATAAAAGATTAAATCATAATGTTATTATAAGTAACAAGTTCCCATCACATGCATTTTTCATTTCACCGCCAGACCGCCGTGCCCCTCTACAGGTGACGGTGCATGAAATCGCTAATAGTCACAGAGAGGCATAAGTTACAGTCCCAACACTGCGTAATCCCGTGCACGTCTTCTTAATGAAACGTGCGTGAGCTGCGTTGGTTTCTCCTTACACGGACCCGAGCGTGAACTCTGTCCCTCCCGGGCCCCTGGGCTGTTTACACTCCCCTCCACCCCCGTCACCTCCACCATGCTCGGGCCTTTCACTGCGCTGCCCCGCTGTCCACCCAGACCTCTGCAAGGGCCGCGTTACTGGTGCCACTCAGAGGCTGTCGTGGGTGCACGGAAAACATAGTAACCACAATAGAAAGTAAAAGCGAAAAAAGCAGCGGAATTGTTATTTTATTTGTGCCTATTTGTTTAATTTTGAATTTGTCATTTGTAAATCTGTATACAATATTTTTAGGCAATTTAATATACTAGCTTTTCTAACTCACTTAGCACAAATAATAACATTTATTTTAATAATCTGTAATAGGCCTATAGTTTCAAGTAATCAGCAGTTGTTTGTAGTAGGTTATTGTATGAGGGATCATTAACTGATAAAACAAACGAGAGATGTAACCTATGATTTTATGAAATATTAATAAAATGACATGCGTTAATGTAAAACAAATATCTGGAGTAACATGACCTTTGTCAGCAGCCACCGTGTGAGGGATAGGCCTGAGAACTTATGTCTTATTGAGGTTAATGTGATGGTGTCACGATGCCCCCATGTGGCTGGAAAATGAACAGCATTTATTGGTTTCTATAACTGTGAAAATGTACATATTCCATACTGGTCAATTATAGAGCTCTTTACTATGATACTAGTGTTGTAGTTTACTGTGATCACAAACGCGGATCAAGTTTTTCAACAGGCCTTCATTTTACCTGAACCTTCTGAGTCCTCCGCACACGTGGACTGTGCTCCGTCCTGGAAGAAGCTTTCCAAGGCAGAAGGCTTTTTTTATCTGAAAACCACTGCTGCCACCTTTTGGCTGACCACTATATAACAGTTAATATTTCTTTATCTCATAAGGAGAACTAAAGAAGATCAGATAACGTCAGCGCGTAATTGTGGCTGGTTTTTGACTCACATTATTTTGAAAAGAAGAAGAAGAAGAAGAAAAAAAAAGAAGACTTACATTATTCTGTGTACAACTGATAGGTCTAGGTCTAAAAGATGCAGAGTCTAATAACTCAACATGTAGCAGAATGCAGATTGCATGCATTCTCCTGTATTTTGTTTTGTTTTGCGCATAAATAATACTTTCATTTGAATTCCCAGGGTACTATGAAATGTACCTCCTCTTCTGGAGGACGAGCTCTGTCCAATCGCACACAGCAAATCTTGAATTCATTAGCAGGAAATAAATGATGTAACTAGTTGTGTGGCCAGTAGATGGCGCTAAAGATCTGCGCTGTTTTTTTTATTATAATACTGGTAAGCAGAAAGAGCAGTTTATCCTTGACCCCGCATTTCACTTCAACACAATTTCTTATTCTCTCAATCGCTACTAACGATTAATTTAAAAAAAAAAGATGACTTTTACTACGACTGTTACATACATAAGAATAAAGACAACTCTGTGTGTTACTATTCCACTCGACCCATCTTATATATTGAATGCTTGGGTGATTTTATAGCGTTTGACAGTATATTTGTGAAGAAGATTATGTAAATATTACACGGAATGATATTTTTTTTTATGATACATTAACGATAGCGATAACATTATTGTGCTTTTTTTTTTAAAAAAAAACAAACAAAAAAAAAACTGTCAAACATCCTTGAACATACATTTCAGAAACAAAAATGTGCATAGGCCCACTGGTTTTAAGCAGAAGAAAGAGTAATGAACGCAGTATTGTTCAACATGTTTTTAATAATTATACAAAAATAAACTGAAGTGCTTATACATTATGCATTTTCTTCTAAGTCCTTGGTTACACGAGGCACGGCTTGACGTCCTGGTACGTGCTCTGCGGATGGAGGTGGGTATGATGGAGGTGCTGGGGATAGTATAAGCCGCTGCTCGCGGTCGGGCTCAGGATCAGCTCCTTCCTGTCGCACGTGGAGGTGGAATGGGAGGGATATCGGGACAGTCCCACTGTGAGACACATTGAAATAATAATATTAGTAATTTCATTGAAATCATTAAATCAGCCTTCACTATAATATTTTCATAGCAGTGATAAAAAACAGAACACTCTTGTAAAATAAATCTCTGAATTTCAATGAGACTTTCCTGGTTAAACAAAGTTTAAATAAAAATGAATAGATATGATATATTTAATTACATTTTTGTCTGCTTGCATTGTTATAATCAGGTCTGAATATAGGGGATGGATCTACTTTTAGCTTTTTTTCTCTAGTCTTTAAGTGAGTATTCTGCATTAGTCGTGTTTAAATCCTTTATTTAAATCCTTTAACCCTTTTTTTCTGATTTGCGCACACATTATTAATTCATCTATTTCAGTTGATCAAAAAGACCCTCATGTGTTGTGCGTAAAACAAATTTTTATACACAACATATTTTTACGCACGCATTTTTATTTTTTTTTATTTTTTTTCCGTTTGACAAGGGTGTTTGAAAGTCAAACGTGCATCTACATTTGCTTGCATTTATAGTATTTATCTGTCATACCTGGAACGTCAGACGCGTCTTGGGCGCTGTGATAACTTTGGTCCAGTGAATACGTCACGGCATTATGCTGCGTAGATGATGCTTGGGGCTGTTTGATGTATGACGAGACGCCAGGTGACGTCCAGTGCGTGGATGCATTGGAGTAGAGTGAATCTCCTCGGAGATCGGGGCTGTAGTCTGCGCGGCTACTGCCCACCTGACAGGCCGACAAGTATGACGAGTTAGTGACCGCGCTAAGACTGTCGTATCCACTTGGGGATCCTATCAAGTCTAGATTATAGCCGCTGTGGCAGGTCACAGAGCCAGAGGTCGGGTGGAAATCAAAGGTCCCAGGATGAACAGATGCTCCAAAGCCCATCCCATTCATCACCCGGTACATGGGCCTCAGTGCCTGGCACTTTCTCCGAAATCCCCGTGGTCTGCGTCTGAAGGAACCCTCCTCGAACATGAACTCACTGCTCGGGTCTATGGTCCAGTAGTGACCCTTCCCGGGTCTACCCAGGCCTTTGGGCAGCTTTATAAAGCATTCATTCAGAGAGAGGTTGTGTCTCACGGAGTTCTTCCATCCCTGGTATGCGCCTCTGAAGAAGGAAAAGCGCGCCTGCAAAAACTGGTATATCTCACTCAAAGTGAGCCTTTTACTGGGTGAGTTTTGGATCGCCATGACAATCAGAGCAATATAAGAATAAGGGGGCTTTTCAGGGCGCCTCAGTACAGACTTTTTACCTTTGGAGTCATCGTGCGCGCTGGTCATCACTGTGTGCGCGCTCAGAGGGGGATTAGAGCGCGCGGAGTTGTCCACCAGTTGATGCAGGCTCTCAGTGCTCGCCATGGTTCACCGGTACAATTGACAAATTTTAGTCCTCACAAGATTCACTTAATCCTGCTAAATCCTTCCCTCGTTCTGCCAGTGTCCATTCCTGGCAGAGATTGAAGAAATAGCTGAATCTGCCTCTCCATGTATCAGCTTCATGGAACAAATCCCTCCAAGAAATCTGAAGTAGCTGCCCCCTCCCCGTGGAGCGGGTCTGAATAGAAGCTGGAAGTGGAAGAGGACAAATCTCCTCCCACCAGCCCTCACTTTTCTAAACAATTAGCAGAAGATCATTTGGAACAATAAACGTCAAGGAAATGGGCACAGATCTGAAAGTCTCTCTTTGTGTCCCGTGGTTTCGTGTAGGAATGATGTTGGCAAAATTGAGGCATTTGTTTGGGGACTGGTCAGACTCTGCCATGACAAGAAGCATGCTTTTTCCATCAAAACAGGCCCATAGTTTATACCACCCACCGCGCGCAAGTGTCAGTTTACCTTGAGAAGTCTGGGTTACATCATAAAGCTCTATTTTGGCTTCGACTTGGTGAAAATACAGTGGGTAAAAAATGATGCCCAAATGTAGCCAGTAAAGTAGTCCTATATGCACGGTGAAGAAATGCGCGCTTTGACAACAAGTATTAGTACCATTAAAACGTGTAATACAATTAGGATGTTGACAGACATGTAGCCTTATATTCTGAGTTGTGCGGAAAACATTTTACGCGCAAAACATATTGAAACGTCCACTTATTTTATTTTCAATTTTAGGAAAAATAACTTACCCATTTGTCTGAATATGTGTTTTAGTATTCATGTGTGGACAGTGTGTCTCAGGTCACAAACAGACAGGAGGTGAAGTACCGTGTTTGTCTTTCTTTACTAAAGAAACAATGAAATAGAGATTCTGTATTATCAACAAAGAATGAATTTAACCGATTTGTCTCTTGGTGACCTGGGTAACTCTGATTTGAGTGTTGTTGTCCCGGATTTTTTTTTTTTTTAAGCGGAAAAACAGTATGTAAGAAGAGAAAAAACTAAGACCTTTTAAGAATCAATATCAGGAATTAAAATTCTTTCATAAAACTGACTTCAAATGATGTTTATTGGACAGTCCCAAAACACAAAATATAATTTATTAAATAATTAACAATTACAATAACAAAGTTTGTGAAAACATTGTGAAATACCAGCATGTGTAACATTTGCGGCTCACGGGCCTGTAAGTCCAAACCAACGACAATACAGTTTTCAGTGTTTGACAGTCCTGCTCAAAAGAGTCGCAGCGTCTCTGTTTTTGAATGATGTGTCACATGACCCACGTCAGTGACGTAAGATAATGCGCCAGGTAAGTTCATGTGATGCGTAATGTGTCCAGTATGACGCCAGTGGACGGAAGGATGGACCACTGTTTCTACTGAACGTGTGTCTCCTCTGAAGGGGGTGCTGAGGATGCTGTCTATTGTGAAAGAGCTGGAGAACTTTACCCGAGGCTCAGACTTCATTACGTGTCCGGAAAAGTCTTCATCCACAAGTCTGCCTTTATTGAGACGTTTTCTTCTGCGTCTGAACACACCGTCTGCGAACGTGTACTCGCTGTGAGGGTTCAGCATCCAGTAATTGTCCTTCCCCCACGGCCGTGACGGGTCACGGAGCACTTTGACGAAGCAGTCGTTCAGGGACAGATTATGCCTCACCGAGTTCTTCCATCCAGTGTAGCTGCCTCTGAAGAAGGGGAACTTGTCCATCAGGTAATCGTTAATCTCCGCTAACGTGAGCCGGCCGCTCGAGGAGTCGCGTATGGCCATAGCGATGAGCGCGATGTAGGAGAAGGGCGGTTTGCCTCTCCGTGCGTAAGGCTTGGGCGCACTGCTGGAGACTGGATTGACAGGTGATGGGCTTCGGGCTGCCCTGTCTCCATCTGACCCCAGCTCCTCGTCCGTTTTGAGGTTACAGTGACCTCCGCAGAGAACCTCCAGCTTCATGTTTCCAAGAAATCCAGTGCCGTAATGTTCCTTTACGCACCTGCAGAAGCATTCTCACCTGCTTTCACTTACGGTAGCGCCTTAAATACCGCGTACCTTAGACCAGCCCCAAGTGGGAGAGGCCAAATTACTTCAAAAGACATATAGACAGTTGTGAAAAAGGTTTCCATTGCGTGCGTAAAAAGACTATAAAAACCCGCGGTTTTAACTGTCTTGACAAAGTGCCATAACGTGATGTTTAGGTGAGTATTGTCAAAAGAACACCATGTAGGCTACGAAAGTTATGTACAATTACTGGAACAAGGAAATGTGAGATGGGCATGCTGCAATTATGAAATACTGGGGTCTAAAAACCATTACGCATACAAGGAAAATGAGATGAGAAACTAACACATACAATTATTATGCAGTACGAAGTAGTAGTATAATAAATAATTAGTATAGTTTTAGTGCTATTAATATGACAAGGTATTAAGGGTACTATATATGTAGGAAATACAACAAGAAGACTTTCAAATGCTTAAACGTTATGAATTAAAAAAGCCTTCCAAACTATTACACAAAGTGGCCGCAGCAGCTAAAATGGATGTGTCCATTGTCCAAACCAGATTAACCAAGATTACTTATCTCAATGACATATTGCTGTTGTGTTATTGAGCAAGACACTTCACCTTATACTTATATTACCTTATGCTTTATTAGTTCCATTGTGTATTAAGATGGTGATTGTAGAGGGCGTGGGCACAGAATTGCACCCATATTCCTGTCAATCACCTGGAGCTTTTGTTGAGTGACCATTGAAGTAGAAATAAGATAAACACATTTATTTAATTTTTTTCCATTTAAAGGGACCATTTTAGACTTTTTCTGATTTATGTTATAATGTTGTTTCCTCATCACAAACATACCTGGTGTTGTGATTTGTTTCATTCACACATGTTTAACACACAAGCCTGCAATTCTTCTTTCAAAAAACACTCCTTGAATCTTGAAAACCACCTTGTGATGTCATCAGGTAACACAGAAAGTGCTCCATTGTGTTTTTAAATTCCAAACACCTTCGCTAGAATCATTTGGATGATTTCAGCCCCAGAATTTCTGATCTCTGAACTAAAATTAAAGGAACTGTTAACTTGAAAACTACCGCTTCATGACATCACACGGTGGAACAGAGCGTTTTGAGCTTTGGAGATGTAGACAGAGTAATAATAAAGGATTACAACACAACTCCGGGTATGTTTTTGATGAGGTAACAACATCATAACAAGGCTTAAATCTCACAAGAGACAATTTTGCGTAATATATGACCTTTTAATTCTTGGTAACTTGAACACATCTATGCAAACATGGCTGCGTTTTAAACAATAATAATAATAATAATAATAATACGATATTGTCAGGTGTAACTTTGCCACTACCCATATTAAATTTTACGATTTTAGCCTGTGGATATTATGTAAACAAGGCAACAAATCGATCAGCTACCATTAATATAATGTTTTTTATAAGCCTTCCACAGTTAAAAACACAATAGCAGTTTTTACGACCTGACAATTACTACTTTTTACTACGACATCAGACACACCACTGTGCTTCAAACTAGCTTTTTGAGGTCACATGGAAAAATCTATCACATTGTGTTAGTCACGGTGTAAAACCTGTATTGAGACTACAGTACACATTCCAAGCGGTTTACCTTTTGTTGACAGTAATATTAGTTGTTTTCGCACACGCAGGTTACTCATGTTTGCCTTGGTGTGACTGTTTTGATTGTGCAGTAATAATTTTGTTTGTTTAGCGCACACTCCCTTGCATTGACAGAGGCTATTTTGAAAGGTGGCATGTCAGAGGAGTGATCTCGTAATCTAACCGCACAATGACACCCTGCACTTACCTTGTAGCAGCCTGAGCGCAAATGTGTTGTTGGAATAATAGTAATCTACACGGATTTAGCAGTGGAAAAGGAGATTAGGTGTTGGAAGAAATGCTGTGAGGCTAATGTTCTAAATAAATGCAGTAGGATATCATGTGTTGGTTGGTAGTTACAGATCTCAGCTCACAACAAGGATGTCTCGAGGTTGATTCATGGTCGCGGGTGAACCGTCAGACCTTACCTGGGACAGTTCAACCACAGTCTCTAATTTGTAGCACCAGTCTCTCAATGTCTTTCAATAACTTCTTTTTAACTTCTTTTACCTCATAAATAATTACTTTTTTGCTTGTAAGCCACCATGTCTGTTTTGACACAAACAGACCGTGCACTCAGATTGGTTAGTCACCCTGTTATGTGTATCTGAAAGCGAGGTTTTGTCTGTAGTATGTGGTTCTGGTGGGTCAAGTAAGGTCATGGGGACTTCTTATGTGGTAGGTTTTGAGTTTGAGTTTGGCTCTTTCTGGTTTTCCCTTTGACCTCTTCTACTTTAAACAATGATTGCGTAAATACTCCTGAATTCAGAATTCAGTCTTAGAAGTGTGTGTGTAGATAGAGATACATCCGAAAAAAAGAGGAATAGGTAGTTGAATGGGAAATGTAACCCAGAGAGAGAGACTGGGATATCAATATGTGCCAACATAGCAACGAACTGAACCGGTTCACCTTAAAGAAATATTTTCCCATTGAAATGTTTCATGTTAAATGAACAGTCAGTTTGATTATCTCAGAACCAAAATATTTGAACTGAATTAACATCAAAATAACTGGAATTAATGAAATGGAGTTTACATTAATTATGAGCATGTTTTTTGGTTGTGTTTTGTGTACTAAAAAAAAAAAAAAAAAAAAAAAGTCTTTACCTGCTGTTGTGAAGTGTTGTTTGGTTATAATTTCCCACAGTAAGGAATTAAATGTATATATCTTCATGAAGAATGTGACAAAGCATGTTTTTAACTTTCTATTTCCATGAATCATGTAGGTGGTGTCAACTCTGGAAGATTACATAGTAAACTTTAAAGTAAATGCCAAGCCTTAATCATTGTTAATGCACTAAGACTTGTGTCTCCGCTGTTTGTTTGCCTTATTAAGTTCAATTAGTTTTTTTACAATGTGCCATTAATCAACTGGGTTAAGTGGGTCTATTCATTTATTTTGGATTGCACCAAGAGGGTCCTTATAATTAAATATGTAATATAATTAAAGTATAATTTACATTGACATCAAAAGAGAAATTGATAAAAAAATCAAGTATTTCAAACTTGTTCAGAATGCCAGTAATGTAAACTAGATAAGTAGTTGATCTACTCAGATGACAGCTCTTCAGACGGTGTGTATATTCTGTACAAACAGAGTGGAGTACATCTCTGGCCATTATCTGAAATACTCACGTGTACACAGAACTCCAGACACGCTGTTTACTTACTCAAGTTAATCCTAGGCATTCCTTTACGCTATTGATGCCAAAACATATTTATTATCATTGTACAAAGCATCACACCTTAAATATTTCACTAACCACTAATTATTGAGTAGCCCTGTTTTTGTGCTTTTGTGTTCAATTATACTTCTCCTCCATTGTCAACGTGTCTCCCATTTCTTTGTTATAAAACTGCTTTCTTTTGTTTGTTTATTTAATAACTTTATTAACCACGTCTGTGCATGTCATATGTCAAAGTTCTATTTTGGTCTCGATACATGGGAGCATAAACACTGAGCTGCCGACAGTAAATGCAGGTGACGAGAGGGAGGAGCCGCACTGTCTGACAAACCATTTAATTACAATCCTGTATTTAGATTATATTAAAATAGAGGTGACTTCTAAGAACTGACCTAGGATAGTTATGAAAATGAGAACATATTATAAAATTTTTACCATTTGGCTTCCTGTACTTTGTACTTTGTAAAATTTGAATATAAAAAAGTAGGTTAACAAATAACTTAAGTAACAGTAAAGTATTATACACATTTTGTGCAACTATTAAACCAGTGTTTCCTATTTCCCTTTCAATCTCTTGCTCATTTGGACTGATTTTAACTTTTGTTCTATTAGTTTTCACATCTTTTAACTATTTATTTTACTGACTACTGAAGATTTTTCCACTGACATCTATGAAATTACTTCATCTATTGACTAACATATTCTTCTGTATGTTCAAATTTACAAATACTTACTATTTTAATTCTGTATTTTTACGTACTTACTTACTATATAACACAAAATGGATTTTTGTGAGCTTTAAGTCATGTTAGAATGTGACCTCACCAAAAACATACCTGGAGTTGTTTTGTTTCATTCACACATGATTGAGTAACCCTTTACTATTAGTCTGTCTACATCTCCAGAGCTCAAAATGCTCTGTTCCAGCTTGTGATGTCATGAAGCTGTAGTTTTCAGTTTGTGGAAAGAACTATTATGCACAATTTGTGTGTTAAATGTTTGAATGAAACAAAACACTACTCCAGGTATGTCTTTTATTTGTTTAGGTCAGAAAATAGTGTAATAAGGCCCATTTAATTACTTACCTTATGTATATTTCAGACAACCTACAGTCTTAACAATAAAATAAAAGTAACCAAACATGATATTAAAGTAGTAAACTGACTGGAGGATGGCACCAGCCTACTTTAATCACTATTGGAGCCTTGAGTCTGTGTGACAGTGGAATGTGCCCTGTGAATGACTCAGGGTGTGCACTAGTAAACTCCACTTTTTATTTACGCATATGCTCACCTGAGGGAGTTCCTCTGCACTGCTGGCACGCCACACAATGTTCACTGGAAAAAAAACAATCAAAGCAACCTGCCAAATGCTAAAAAGACAATGGCTGAGGTTAAATCAGATTATTATCAAATTATTTGGAGCTACAGGACAGTTATATAATAATAATAACAATAATAACACTTGTATAGTGCATTTCATGACACTCAAGGAAGCTTCACACAGTTCAAAACACAAATAAAAGAAATAGACAAAGGACAAAGGCAGTTTTGAGCAGGTGTACTTTCAAGGCTTTTGTTTTGTTTTTTTGAAGATGGTGAATGTAGGTGAGTCTCTGATCTGCTAGGGCAAGGAGTGTATAAACATCAAATTCATCTGGTTTCTTTCTGGTC